CTTAAAAGCGAAGCCGAACACTGCGATTTTCTTATCAGCGACGGTGTTGAACAGCTCGACGATGATTTTGTCGGAAAACCGACGACGCTGCCATTTGTTAATCTCAATGACCTGCAAATTCTCTGTTTTATTCCTACCAAACCCCAAAGTCTCTCCAACAGCTCAATCTGACCATCAAAACTTTCGAACTGTAACTGGACATAGGGTGTCAAGCATTTGTTTTCCGCTGCGCACCGCTCAAACTTTTCGCCAGTCACATGCAACTTGGCCGAAATTGGTGGTTATTGGTCGTGGGAGTTGGAAACGGTGAAAACAAGTGTTCACTACTGAAGGCAAGCCGAACTATTGGCAGCAAGTTTTTGCATTCATGCATTCATAAGATCGAGTCCTGGCCATGAAAATGGATTGGTAAACAAAGTTGACTCCCGTGCAAGTCTACAGAGCAAAAGAGGAGGTCAGACACAAGAACACTCACTCCCATCCAGTAATCCGCTACTTTCTGAAGATGAAGCGATTCACTAATGTACACCAATGACAGTACGTCTTTTTGGAAGCAGCTGCCACCAAATCCTGCAAGTAAACACAACTCGAACGCTGAGAACAATTTTTTCTGTCCGTTTCTAATTTCCAACCTGTGACTCGTCTCGCAATCCTCCTTTAGACTAACAAGCCATGCATGTCACAATGGCACACTTTCAGTGATTTGAAAGTTTCGCTTATGAATCGAGATCCTTACCTACGCTAGCCTGCAAGAATTTGTTCCCTATTCTGGAGTCGAAGCCGATCGCGTGTGCGACCTCTTGCACATCAGCACCAGTTGCTTCACAGATTGCCGAAATCGCGTTTATCGATGATATCCGTTGTGCGAGAAAGGCATTCGCGGCCTAGAAATCAAAAATGCGATGAAGAAAAGGTGATCACGGAGACAGATCCAGGGCACATCGTTGTTGGGGATTCCACAACAACAGGAGGGGGGGTCGTATTCAGTCACCGGAAGAGGGGGGTTGTATATGAGCTGAGAGAATTCTTTTGACACTTGATTTTCTTGTTTCAGGGGCGAATCAAAGAGGATAAAATCGTATTTCCCTTCTGACCTTCTGAAGAAGGTTACTAAAAAAAGTGTTGGGGGAGGGTGGGGTGGTACGAACTCGACCTAAATTTCCAACCAATGATGTGCCCTGGACAGATCAATGCTCATGTCAATCGTTCCGCGACCTCAGATAGGAGGCACCGCTACCTGACTGTGAGTGAACTACGAGTTAGAGTGCTCACTGGAGGCAGGAACACACGTGAAATCAGCCAATAGCCTACCAGTTTGGATAACTCGGAGCTCCAGGTGTTTGTGGTAATGATTCGATCTCTGGGAACCCAGTGCTCATAAATTCGCACCAACTCGGCTACAGCAGCTGCTCCTGAAGAAACGAACAATGAATGAGGGATAAAGCATTCGATGTTAACCAAATCATTCTTTTGGACAGGTCATTCTTCACCCACCCACTCAGAATCGTACTATTATTTGGATACGATCTGCTCCTTCTTGATTTATGGGCCAGCTGAAAAGTCACTGTTTGTATCATCCCATAGGAGCCTGATACCATTCCACCGACTCCGGAGGGATAGAAGGCGTGGCTGGTATGAGTCGTGGTCGTCTTGGGATTTTATATTTCATGTCTTATGAAATGCATAACTACAAATGACTTTATAAAATGTAAATATAAACTGAAAAGCACTTTTTTGAACGACTAGTAGGTAACAGTAAGACTAGGAGAACTAAGATCAAAAAAAGTCCTCCTCCCTGGGATTTGGAATTCAACTCAGATCAAATTTCGATTCAATCCCCCCCCCTCCCCAGTCGATTCAACTGAGCTGATTCGCGTAAAATTGTGGTGCCACCGTGGGCACCTTTGTCATCGCCAAATTTTGAAAACTGTGAGAGTTTCAGGTCAGCAATTTAGTATTCTTTCTTTCTTTCCGGCAACCATCCATCCTCTTCGACCCTGATTAACCATCTGGAACGTCCTCGCACCACATGTGCCCTCTCGCATAGCTTCTTGTTGGGAGGCTCTACGCCTTCATAAAACAATTACGCGGAAGAAAAATTAGAGTAGCCCGTAATGGAGCATAGTTCAACGGATAACTGCACTTCATTCATCTCAAAGTAATCTGTAATCCCAGCTTTAGAGTGAAACCAGTGCACTTGTTATCTGCCCTTTACTGCCCCACTGTCCGGAATTCAGACCCAAGTTCGATAACAATTTCTCCACCTGAAACTTAAATTTGATCGCCAAGGCAGTCCCAGCCCCTAAACAAGAATATCGTACGTCTTTGTCTTCGAAATACATATCGCATGCTCCACAGGCCTCGGTGGGCGCAGTTCGGCGACGGGGGCCATTTTGCACTTTCCCATTGACGTGTCGACCTATCTAGACAGCCTCTTCTCGAGTTGACAGGTTTCAACATGATGGCTTGACGAGCCTTGTTCCAGCTTCACAAGAGTTCACAGGTTTCGCCAGACTTGTAAACCGGAACCAAGG